TTCATGGGGCCTGGATATATTTATAGGATTAAATTGGTTGTATTTGCAAGTGTTAACTGATCCCAACCCTTTATCCCTCAACAGATTTACTATTTTATTTACATGTGTGTATTTTGGTTGATAAAACTCTAAGTGTTTTCAGGGAAGATATTCATAAAATCTTACATTCAGTCAACACCCGGCATATTGCTAGACCATCTTTCAAAGCGCAGCAAATTTTTATTGAGCTTTACCCTCTTATGTTCTGTTCTACATATTTGTGGAGAAATTATTTGACACTATTCAGTCTCTTAACAAGAGTTTTTAGTTTAATTGTAACATTTCAAGGGTCAATGTATCTATCTTTACAAGATAGAAAGACAAAGTGATTAACACTTATAGGTCGAGCATTCTTAAGCCAAGAACCTGAAATCTAAGTTTTTGAGGTTGAACTTCATACCACAGTAGAAAATTGCACAGCTCATCCTGTGATAAGTCTCAGTCCAAACGCAAATGAGCTCAAAATATTGACTAAAATCCCCTTCAGGCTATGTTTTCATGGAGCAAAGAAGCATTAATATGGTTGATGTTCAGACTGCAGGGCCATCTCCAATATGTCTTATGTGTATGTAAATATTATTTAAAAAAACACATAAAATTATGGGATCTGAAAGGCTGTGATCCCAAGCCCTTCAGATAGCCGGCATTAAACCTGTACCAAACAGAGTTCACCTAAGGGAGAAGGAAGTCCATTTTGCACCTCTGATGCATCTAAAGTTACTGTCTGAGACTATAAATAACAACTGTAGACATGAATCGAAGAGACGGATTCCATGTGGCTAATTTTCCAAGCAGGATGGTACTTTCTTTCCTGTAGCTGACTCCTCTTGTATACTCCTCTTTCAAGTGGTGGTTACTGATAATTTTTAGAAAGAAGACAATGTGCTAATCTTTTATGTCATCCATTTATTTTAGTCATTTTTAATTGGACATTTATAGAGTAGTTTTATAATACAGACATTCAAAGAAAGCTTCTGTGCATGGGGCGATATGTTAAGCTTCCTATTCTTTTTGGTTTCTCAGTGGGAAAAGTTGCCTAGGGTTTCTTCTTTGAATTTTTAAATTTTTATTTTTAATGTTAAATCCATAATGATATTTTCTAATAAATATTTAGAGAGATGCTAGAAACTTGAAAACAGATGTTGGCATTAGGTACTAATTTGTAATGTGCCCTTCCTCAGGCATTGCCCAAACTGCAGTGACTAAGATTTGTTGTGAATTCAAATTTTATCCTTATTTTCACTACAGAGCTTTCAATATCATTTTTACATATGGTGGTAATGCTGGTGCAGAAAGGGACCTGACTTGAGTGTGCAGGCAGGCTTTCATCTCTAAGCCAAGCTGGCCTTCTTTCTTCTCTGTATACAGGGCGTCTACTTCCCATGCATGTTTGACTTCCTAACTCCTATGTCCACTGTGTGAGGCAAAAGGTACAGAAATCTTCTTGCGTGCATTTTGTTTTAATATTCCCCAAGTAAAGAAAGAGAGGAAAGACTGTGAGCACAGAGTCCTGGTTGTAGCTGAAAATTTGAACAAAAGAGCAACGGGAGTTGGCGTAGCACTCACTGTAAGAGGGGAATCAGGATGTCTCCTTGTCTATATATATCTGTCCCACTGACTCTGTTGCATTCCTATGGTAATTCTGCGAGCTAAGCACTGTGCCCATTTTCTCCATGGAAAAATTAGGGCCCAGAGACACTAATGAGCTCAACCCATGCTACTGAGGGGACACAGACTGGAGTGAGAACACAGCCTACACATCAATGGATTCTACATCTGTTTGAGTTCTCGTTTGACTTTGAAGAATTTGTTTCTAAGAGCATAATATGGGTACATGGAAAAGAATGATGACCGTGAGCTTGGCTTAATACTTTTTTGAAAAGAAAGTGGGAAATTATGTAACTAAAAGCACACAACTTTATTCTGGCCAAGTTACATTGTAATCATTGTGGTTTTTGTTTTTGTCTTAGGTGTAGTTGTGATAGTGACAGTAGTCAGCTTCCCCAGTGGCCCTATGATATTCCTGATTGTCCTTATTCTAGACCCAAAACAAGGGTATCAGAGGGAAGGTATCAGAGGAGACAACCTGTTCTTGCCTTGTAGGCTGGGATGTTTTCTTTGAACACTGTCCGTCCCATTGAATGAATGTCCCAACAGTTCACCATATGATCGTCTAGGTACTTTGAGCCTTAGGTATAATTATTATAAAATCTAGGGCCATCAAGTTCCCAATGCCTATGTATTTGTATGTGTATAAATATAGTGAATAGATTTTTTTTTCAAATTTCTTAAATCAGTAATCAGAAAACAGTATCATTTAGTGCTCCCGTTTGAAGATTGGCCAAAATGAGTTTTTGTGAATGGTCTGAAATCATGTGTTATCTTCCTATTTGACTGCATTTGTAAATGTAAGTTATGAAATAGGTGTTGAAAATTGAGCCTATCATGAGAGGCAACATTGAAGTGTATTTGTTGAGATCTGTGCTAGATTGAATGAGCACATTATACTTGCGTGTGCTTTGTGGCAGAGACGTGCATGTGGGCACGTTGGTAGCATGTTGCAGTTTGCCATGTGTTCCACGTGAATTTTACTGTGACCCTTAGTCATTCTTCAAAAAGAATGTTTCTCCCATTGCAGGAGAAGGGATGCATCAAAGTAAGGATTTGCCTCCTGTGGGGGCATTCTTTAGGGTTCTGAGTCAAGTACCCCTAAGTTCACTTCAGAAGTTGAACTGAGAAGGAAGGTAACTTCTCTTAAATGTTAGGTCAGATCCAACTCATGGGCACTTACAATAATGACTCCTTTTGATCAGAGCCAGGCACTTGGTATAGGGTGTGTACTTTCTTGAGTCCTGCTTTTTCCTAATTTCTCTGGTGGCTCACTTTATTTATTATTTATTTATTTTATATTTAGTACAGGGTCTATAGGGTCTCACTACACAAATCAAAGTGGTTTTGATCTTCTTGTTTTCAGCCTCCCAAGCACTGAGATTACAGGCACGCACCACCATGCCCAGTCTCAGTGGCTGTGTCAACATGTCCCGGGGGCTGGGCCAGCACTGCACCACTGGGATTGAAACTCTTCCTGAGCCTGCCCAAGCAGGTACTTTAGTCCACTGAGCTATCTGGCTGGTCCTTCTGTGGTGGCTTTTTAGCTAGATGTGCATGGTGATTTAACTTTCCTTTTGAACGCGAAGCTGTGGTTCCCTTCTGGTTTGTGAGGGAATTCCTGGCTGTCTAAGCTATCTGACTGTGGGCACAGACAAAAATGCCATTTTTGTGTATAGCTTGGTCATTATGTGGAGTCAGAGAAGACATGGCTTTGATTCCCTGCTCTCCCACATGCCAGTTTTTTGTCTGTAAAAGTTGCTGAACCACTCTAAACTTCTGGGAGCTTATCCCTAGAATAACTATAATAATAGTCCTTACCCCTACTGTTAGTGTGAGGATTAAGTCATGTAATCCACCTAACTGCTCAGCATAGTGCTCCGCACATGGTAGGTACACCCCCGAAGTTGGCTTCATTTCTTTATTGCTAGGACTGTCACTCTAGCCCAGAGCTCTCACAGAAGCGCAGCAGACCCGGTTCTTTGAAAGTCGAAGGGTAGGGAGGCAGGAGAAAAGCTTCATTCCCATTCCTTGCAGTTGTTCAGTACAGTTGTAGGTTACCATGGAAACTTTCAGGATTAAGATGGCATTACTGAGTTAAGCATTCAATGAACACCTTGGGAAAGAAAACTCATAACACGTACGCATGCCATAAGTAGTTTCCAAATGGAAAGGTTACTTGGGTAGAAGAGTGGGTGGCAGTTACTGCGACTTCCTTGTCTCCCAGTTTCCTGAATTCACAGAGAATTATGATCAGGACTTGAAACTGGAATCATCTTCCTGTGTTTCCCCTTTCCTGTGCTGTTTCATAAAGTTGTCAGTGATTACAGCCCGCATTTCAAAATGGGAATCCACTCCTCACATACTGGGGAGTGTGGCTTTCTGAAATAGATTCTGAAGTCGAAAAGAACTCTGAGTGTTTTCTGAGAAGGACTGACCTCCTTTCATGCCACTTACTGTGAATTAAAGCTGTGAAGGGAACGAGTTTGGGCATGTGGTACAGCACTTAGCGCTGCTGCTGCCAGGGAACAAGATTTGTGTTTCTAAGGAGATACAACAAAAAGGAGAATGCTTTAAGAGCCAGCGGCTGTCAGAGTGTAAAAGTATCTATGTTTAGAAAGGGAAATAGAAGCTGAATTAAGTAATTTTATACACACGTTACAGGGTACTCTTCTACTAGTAATTCTTAAATTCAAAAGCAAATAGCTGTGACCACAAAGGGCTTAGTACATCTCAGCTGATCTTAACTCAGACTCCAACTGGATACGATTGGTATTGACCAGCTCTGTGCATGTGATTTTAAGACGGTCTGACTCTTGCCTATCATCCTGTTAGCTTGTATTAATAACCAGGGACAAATGGTGACATCGTCCAGCAGAGCTCTGGGCAGACACCTGACAACATAGTCTGAATAAATGAGAGGAGAAAAACCTCAGTTCTGCCCACTGAGATGCCGAAACAGAGCTCTCTACCAGCCTCTTTAATGCCAGTATGAACCTGCTTGCAAGTGTTTAGTCGGTTGCTGGCATGGAAGTACATCTTGAGTAGGTTCATTGGCTAATGTCTCATCACGGGACAGAAATCACAGGGAGGGAGAGTGCAACAAGGAAAAATTACAGTACAGCTATATTTACCTCGTGCCTCTGCACTGGGGTTTATTTTCCACAGTTGGAAAGGGAACCACCTGTCTCACTGCTGATGTCAAAGAGCTCCCTCGAGACTCGGGCTGTTGGGAAGCACATGATACTGTACATATTTGCTCTTGCATCCATATCTGGCTACGATTGGGTTTCAGATTTGTGCCCTATTGTGGAGTTCATTGAGCAGTCACTCCGAGGTGCCCTCCCACGTCACCATGCCCTTGTGAATTAAAAAGTGGCGTGAGGAAGCCCCTGCTGCGAGTGTTGCCTTCACTTGCGATACAAGTATTTGTACTGCAGAAAAAAAAAAAAATGAATGACACACACCTTGCAGTTATCATCTATGGATTCAGTTTGGAAAGTGAGTACCAGGCAGCATCTTCACTGTGCCTAGGAGCCATGCTGCTGTTGATGTTTGGGGCTCTGTTTTATTCTCAGCAATGAGAATTGTTTTAAAAAATAGGTATGATTTGGATATTTGATATGCATATTGTTAAAGAAGCAAAAAGATTAGTGTGAACTATGCTTGTATGTCTGTGACAAGCCGGTAGTGTATCAGTGTAAACAAATTATTGTAGAGTGAATGGAATATCTGATTGGCTAAGCTTGGATAGTACAGTATGCATTTGTGGTGATCTAGTGCAGCTGTTTGGTTTTGTTTCTTTGTTTAAGATTTTACAGAGTTGTTTTACCCACTGTTCTAGTTCCCGGAGCATGGGAGAGAATCAGGCCTTTTGATTGTAGCTCCTCATAAAGGTGTGAGAGCCACTGTGCTGGAGACTGCAGGGGGTGCCATTTGTGTCCTAGTCAGGAACTCACACTTAAATTGTCCTGCTGACTATATGAGCAGTCAGAGAAAATATGATGCTATCACTATTACTCAAACATTGCATAAAAATAGAATTTTTATTAACAATTGCAAAAGGCTTGCTATTAGTGAAGTTGCTCATTATTTTAATAGTACGATGCATCTGAATTTGAATATCTTCAACAACTTGCAAATTATATGGTTATTACACAAAATAGGTGGAAAACAAGAGTCTGAGGATATAAATTACATTCTTGGGTCACATCAAATCGATGTCTTACTAGGGATCAGTACCAAGGTTCTTAATTCCCAGGCTTACTACGATGTTCACTTTCAATTAAATTTATATCTGAAATGATGATTGGTATCTTTTACTCAAATCCTAAAAATAGAGTAAATAGAATGGGCTAAGACCCCTTGGTTCATCTAATCTTTCCCCTAGTGTAGGATTTTCCTCTGAACCATTAAAAGTGTTATAATATATGATTGATATTAATTAGTTTTCTGTAAAGTACTGCACTCCTTAACATGAACTGAACTAGAAATAAATATATTACCATGAATTAAGATTTTATTAGTTGAGAAGAAGAATTGGATGAAGGCACCTATGTGAAATCCTAAGTACAGGCGTCAAATTGAATTAATGCCAGCACTGCCTTGAGATTAATTTGAGTGCTGAATAAGAAATAGTAAGCCATAACATAACTATGTTTACTGAATCATTTTTGGCATCAAAACCAAGGCTACATTATAGATGCAACAACAGGCTTTTCTCCCTTGGAAGAGAGAGGCGGTGCATTTTGTAATTAAAGTGAATGTTATCCTCTGAAAAATGCCTCTAGTCTTCTGAACGAAAACAGTCTTCTTGAGACGATTTCATCCCTGTGTGTGTCTCTGACTTTACATACCTGGTGATGCTCCAACCGTCTTCAGCATCCTATTCGAGGTTTGTAGTAGGATGAGCTGTACTTTGCACCCTCTCAATACTGAGAGGCTGGCAAGAGCTTACTTTCTATATTTGCATCTCATTATTATGTATATGTTTTGAAGAGGTGTGGAATGTGCTGAAAAGATTTATGGGATTGCCTCAGGGATGTTCTAGAAGGGATTCCTAACGATTGGGTTAGGAAATGGATTGAATAGCACAGAGGACCACGCAAGCTGAGCCCCACAATGCTTTAAAGATTGCTGTCCACAGTCAGATGCCGATGGCGCCCCTCAAAGTTGTGCACCTCTGCCGGGGCCCTTCTTTTGTGTCCCATTAAATCCAAAATTCTCTGATCCCATATTCATTAATTTGCTTTGCACCTATAATATCACTGGAAGGCTAAACATAAAACTTTAAAGGTTTTGCACTGTTGAATGGGAATATCGTGTTCATCTTGTGTATAATTTAAAATTTTCTAGCAGTCACATTTACAAAAGAGAAATTTATTTGTTTATTTATTTATTTTTGTGGCCAGCTCAGCCACCCTGGGCATGGGGTCAAAAGAGAAATTCAATGTGAATGTGTCATTTAACAAAATATAGCCAAGATATTTTAACAATACGTAATCTATAAATTTGAGGGATATTTTACCTTCTGTTTTTCATATTGAGACATTGAAATCACACCCGTAGTTTGCATTTATAGATCATCTCATTGTTGCCTAGACCCATTTCAAGTGCTCCATAGCCCTGGGTGGCTAGTAGTTACTGTATCCATCAGTACAACTTTTAACCTGTACACTCACTTGTCAGCATTCCATTACGCAGAGCAATTACTTAAAAGAAAAATCAATATAAAAAACAGAGTGTGGGGTATCCTTCATGTCATTATATCAATTTAAAAAATGATCACATGACTGCTCACAAATTTTTGAAAAGTGCAAACACTAAGACAGTTTCCTTGATAGGCCACTGGGGGCAAAATGGCTTTCTATTGAGCTGGTCTGGTCCTGTGGCTTTGTTTCCCATTTTCTTTTCTGTGTGCGTCTCAGATGTCATCATTTAACAGGCAGGCCTTGATCCTTTGTCCCTCCTCCCACATCTGCAGGCTCACAGTGTCCTGTCAGTCTCTGTGCTTCTCAGGGGTGTCCGGCTGCTTCTTAGGGGTGTCTGGCTTCTTCACAAAGAAACTCCTGAAGAAATTTTGGCTCAAGTAACTTCATGACCAGCCTGTTGGAAACAAAACTGTCCCCTGCACTTGCTGCTTCTAGTCTCTTTAGAGCTAGAGGCAGGTCATGACTGGTACGAGGCTGTTTTTTGGCTTTGTTCAGATAAGCAGAGAAACCAACAGGCTTGGCGCCTCTAGCACTTGTGGTGAGCCTGTCACCCGTAGAAAGTCAGAGTAACATAAGACTTAAAGAGAAAGTCTGCTCTGTGCTGCTTCTAGATCTTTTTGTAAAAATTCCTTTTATGAACAAGGAAAACACACAAAGAGCAAACCCATGTGACTACTGTAATATCGCTTGACTTTAAAATAGCTGTTAAGTGTTTGTATGTGAATAACAAGTACTATCATTGTGTACTTATTGTATACCAAGCACCGGATTCAAACAAATCTAACTGAATCCTAATGCTAACTAGGTAAAGTGATTGTCATTGAATAGATTACATTTTTGAGAATCAGATGATGAAGATAAGTTTGCTTGACCTCAAAGAGAAGTCCTAAGTGGCAGACCTGGTTTATCCTAACTCATAGTCCAAATTCCCAAAGAAAGAGGCTACCTTGTCAATCCAAGCCAGTCATACCCTTCGACAATGCATTTTGAACCCAGGATAAAAACACTAAAATTTTCGATTTGGAAGATTCCATCATATCATTTATTCAAAAAATGCACACAGATAGCACCTAATTCTTCCCCCATAGTTCTACTGAATAGAAAATAGGTCTAGAAAGCTAAATGGCTTAGCCCAAGGTCAAACACACTGGATCCTTGATTCATGCTTCACTGCTGTTTGTCTACGTGGTTTAATGGCCTCTTTAAGAAGATAAGTGGAACATTTGGACGTTTTTTAATTAACAGAAAGAAAGCAATCTTGAAAACTTTGTACTATAGAAACATTCCTTTTTCTTTCTTCACTAAGGATTTTAAACTTTCTATTAAACTATAACATGGATAATAAAAATGCATTTATCAAAACAGTTCAGATAAATGAATTTTTCCTAGCTAAGCACACCCATGTAACCAGCACTGAGCAGGAAAGAGGCCATAACTAACCTCCCTGGACTGTTGTGCCTCACTCGGCCCTCCTACCACCCAAAGAAAGCTCTCTCCAGCCTCGCAGCCACATAGATTGGAGATGAGGTGCATCTATTTCAAGCTGGTGTCAGAGTGAAACCGTTGGGTGCATACCTTCTGATCACATGTCTGGTTTCAATTCTATGCCATTGTGTGTGTAGGATTTTTCCCCAGTTTGATATATAGTAGAAGATCATGAATGATCATGCTCTTGAAATAGTGGATCCTCCATGATTATGAATACATTTAGCTAACATGAATTATCATTCATTAATTATTTAATTACGAATATTATTATTGAGCCAGGGGTATAACTCAGTGGTGCAAGGGTCTGCCTGGCAAGTGCAAGGTCCTGAGTCCAATTCATGGTATTAAAAAAAAAAAAGCCTCCAAATATTATTACTTAAATTTTTGTTGGTAGCAGGCATTATTGGATGTGTTTTTGATGAGATCTGAAACAAACTAATCAAGCTGAAATATAGTATCTCAGTGGCAGTAGTGTGTGACATATCCCAACAAACCACTCTTGTGCCATGTTTTACATACTATGTGCCACTGGATAATGTGACAAAAAAGACAAAGAACACATAGCTGAAAATACCCGCATGAGAGCACCAACTTGGAGTTCCCACTTAGTGACTCTGTACAGCCATGCAAAGGGTTTGGTGTGAACTATTTTTAGGTGCCCTGCATGGAAATGAATGTACTAAGATGGGTGGCAGAAAGTGGCACCTCAGGAGCTGTCACGGACTGCTGTCTTGAAAGGAAGGAAATGAATCCATTCTGATCATCTGCTTGGGGCAAAGTGTAGAGTAGGATCTTCACAGAATAAGACAGTGTATGTCTTGTTTAAAAGGAAAACTCTTTCTCTCCTTGGCAGATTATTTCGCAGGGACAGGAATCCAGCTTTCTTAGATTAGCTTTCTTATTGTTTCTTTTCTCTGGCTGTATGGAAATGGGAAGCTAGGCAAGCCACACTAGTGAGGACTGCTTGTGGGGACAAAGCAGTGCTTCTGAGGATGTCTCATGTCGTTGTCCTTGTTGGCTTTGCCATGTACCTGGTCTAGCCTCCTGCATGCCAGTGTCGTCCTTGCTCCTTCACCAAATTTGCTAGCAATGAATTTGTGTGCCTATGGCCATTTACTCGTCTATTGTAGCAAGGTGGGACTGCGTGGCTCTGGAGTGACTCTCTTCCTTCCTGCGAAATAGCACTGTATGTACACAGAGAAGAGCTGAGCAAGACAACTTTGTAATCTCAGGGACACACAGTTCATCCATCCCATGATAGGGACCAGACTTACCACCTTTCCTAATAAAACCCTGATAAAA